CTTAGTACCTTTTTCAGCAAAGTAGTCACATCTTGCTTCTTCTGTGTCTAGACAGGACTGCAGAGGTGGCTTCCCTCTTCCCAGAATTCTTATGTTCTCATTGACCCACCTCCACTTCCTTTCTAGTAGCCCTGCCTATACTTCCTGGATACTGGCCAATCAGTATTTATTTAAAACATAATTGACAGAATACAGACCACTGTCCACCACTTCCCCGTCTTTTTTTTTTTTTTAACCAAAGAAAAATATCCATAGTCTATGTTTTGGAAATGTGGGTATAGTTTTCCAGACTACTTTCTGCTGGTTGGGTGTGCTGATAATCTTATGGGGGCCTAAAGAAAATTTAGAATTATGATCAAGTCCTAACTGGAGTATCCTGTGCGGCTTCATCATCTCAGGTAGCATCTTGAATCTGTTCTGGATGTAGAACTCAGACATCTGGGCCATCTGTTCCTACTGAAGATTTCTCAGGTGATCTTCCTTGATCAAACATGATTTTCCTGAACTCAGAATGAATTTACAGCTTCTCATTTCCTGTGGAAACAAAAACAAATCCTCTTCTCCAAATATCATATCTTTTGACTTTAATTTTGAAGTCAAGTTATTTTTTAAAAAAACCTATCTTGGATTAATTCAGCAGCAGTCATAAGTAAATATCTTTTAGCAGTTGTTGCTCCTTCCTCAGCATTCAAACAATTTCAACAGAGCATAATAACATATAGTATCCAAACTCTCTGTATATATATTTTATCTTCACATGGCTTTATTTTAACCTCTACTTCTTTTATTTTCACTTTTTACTTTTGGCTTTTTGAAACTGGTTCTGTGTGTATCTTTGGCTGTCCTGGATCTCCCTCTGTAGACCCTCTGTCTTTGAATTTACAGAGATCTACCTGCTTCTGCCTCCCATTTGCTGAGATTAAAGGTGTGTGCCACCAAACCTTGAATTTATAGAGATCTGACTGCCTTTGTCTCTCAAGCATTGGGATTAAAGGCTTGTAATACCACTCCTTGAATTCACAGAGGTCTGCCTTCTTCTGTTTCCCACGTTGGGATTGAAGTCATTTGTCACCACACCCAACTACTCTTTTTTTATTTTAAGGATTTTAATCTCTTTCTTTACTTTCCCAAGCTTGTATGTATTTTTAACACACTGTAAAACATTTAGAGGTTTTCTTTGTCTTTGAATCTCTCTTTACTGTATATCTCTTCTTTTCTCTGACCACATGAGTCTTTAATTTGCTAAGCAATATGCGTAGGATTAAAGCTGTGGCTTTGACGGCTGGATCCAGCCCATTTCTTTGCTTTCTGAGATTCCAGCCTCAAGACTGAGGTACCTGCCAGAGCCATGTTTATTGCCATGACTCTATGGCATTTCAAGATTCCTGCCACCAACAGAAAGCATGCGGTCAGCTTTTCATCAACACCATTTAAGTGTTCTGTGGCAGAACCTCTTTAAAGAGCTGCAAGGTTTTGCAGCTAAAGCTGAGTCAGGAAGCCTTTCTTAAATGAGAGCACTTGCCTCTAGCAAGCAGAGCCCACCAGAGAAAATGCTGCTATCAATAAGCCATGCTTTACTCTATTCTTTTCTTTCTAGAATGACTTCCCAAGCTCTTTCAGGCTTTATGTGGATGCAGTTGTTCACACGTTGGGCACTATTTTTTGACTGAGGTTTCCTGTCCTACCTGGTTCCCGCAGTTGTTAACTCCCAAAGAAATCACAAAGAGGTCTGCATTAATCATAAACTGATTGGCCCATTAGCTCAGGCTTCTTATTAACTCTTATAACTTACATTAGCCCATTATTCTTATCTGTGTTAGCCACATGGCTCAGTACCTTTTTCAGCAATGTACTCACATCTTGCTTTTTCTGTGTCTGGATAGGACTGCCAAGATTGACTCATTTTACAATCTCTATTAACAGAGTATTTTAGTTAAATTAGAGTTTGCACTTAATCTATTGTCTTCCCTGGTACTTTTAGGTGATGTTTACTGAAGCCCTGTGGTCTTTCCTTTGATGCTGCCAGTTTCACATAGCAGGGAAAATGCATAACCCAGAGGTCATATATCTATTTCCTAAAAGTTGACTCAGCTCATATCTGTAGGCTAGCTCTCAGTTTGCAGAGAGATGCTTTGGCCTTGTAAATAGAGCTATGGGTTGTAACATGAAATAACCCACAGTTGTTAATAGTTAATCCTCAAGCTGCTGAGAAAGCAACCGACAGTCTGTTCTTATTCTCCTAGGCTTACAACTTTATATTTCTTTATTTCTACATTCCTATTTCTGGAATCTACATTTTTATTTTCTTATTCTTGGACTCTTCAGTTAATTTATTATAAATAGTAATCATTCATTAGACAATTAAGAGAAGAGAATATCCTCCATACAACCAGTGACTAACACCTCTGGTAATTCAAACAGCATTGACTTCGTACTTTATGTCTTATGTATAATCATTTTTTTACTAGAAGTTGGGCTTGTTTTAATTTTTTCTTTCTATCATGAAGGGACCATTGATGAGTTATTCTTATTACTAGAGAAAAACAAAAAACATTTCCCATTAAGGAATCTTTAATATTGAGTTATTCTCACTCTTAAGGGAAAAACAAAAAATATTTTAACCAAAATTAAGATTATAAAAAAGACAATTCTAAGCTTGCTCAGGGTTCAGCAGGGAAGTTCTGCCAGTTATTTTTTGTAATTCAGATGCCCCTGCTCTCTGCTGGCAGGCTGATCCTGAAATGACAGACAGAATGCAGCCGGAGAGCTGAGAGTCAAAAATTCTTAATTTATTTCTCTATTTCTACTGGGAAGGGGCTTTGTTCCCTTTTTTATTTTTTGTTATGGGGGTCTTTTCTTTTCTAGGACTCGATGCCACATTTTTCCTTTTCTATTGGGAAAAATGAGTCATTTCTCCTTTTTTCATTAATTTTCTTTTTTATTTTCTTTCCTTCACCTTTCTCTATTGTGGAGATACCTTTTTAAAACTTCCCTTCCCCCCCCCCATTACTCTACTGGAAAGATTCTCTTTCCTGCTTTTATCCTTTGTCTCAAGACCCATATTATTTGTTGCTGCTCCTGAGATGGAGATTTTAAGTTCTACATGTTCTAGCCCTACCCTGGATTCTTGCCTACTACTTTGGGCATATGTTATCTCCAGTCTTGAAGTGCCCAAACCATTCTTTTCTCATGCCCCATATCGTTGTTCACAAAATGCCAGGGTGCACCAAATAGTTGAAGGGAGAATGCATTCCAAGATGAAATTTAAGGGCAGTTTGGTAGCAGGAAGGTCCAGCTTCTTCTGATGGATCGAACCTAAAACAGCTGTACAAAAGTGTATTTATTGAAAGTTACACAAAGTATTTCCTTATATCAAGGTTCCTAATATAATTTACATGCCCCAAGACTCTACTCCACTTTATTATGTATTCTTTGCAATGCACAATAATACAAGAGCCTCAGTTGTACCCGAGGCATCTTGTGACCAAAGTCATGGGATAGCTACAAGGTCCCTCCAGCAAACAATCACTGTTTTCCTCAAGGATTCTTCAAGGTCAGGGTGCTTCTAGAAAACAGCTCTTCATTCCAGTATTTACCCCATATAGTGATTCTGCTAAATTTCAACAAAGGCAGGCACCACCATCAAGAGTGCTTGGGATTTCTGTTTGTGTCATGCCTGTAATGTCACATGCACAGCTTCTCTCTTTATAGTTTCTATCTTCTGCTATTTGTAAAGTGTGACACCAGGATGAAGAATTTTGAAAATGAACAAAAAAATGAGACTTTATTAGAGCATTTTGTGTTTTCTTTTGTGGATATAGGACTTTACAAATTCAATGCATTTCGTGACTGTAATTTCCAATGAACAATAAGACATAGGGATTATATATGGTATACTTTTTTATGGTTTCTCAGTGTAATGGTCTGTTCTCTCTTAAGAAGCAAGTCCTGCCTACTCCCTCTCCCTTTCTGTTTTTTTTTTTCTTGTCCCCATTCTCCTTCCCTTTCCCCCTCCCTTCCATAACTCACTAAATAAAGATCTAACTTCACTCTGTATGGTGTGCCTATCTATGTCTCTGTTTCTTACATGCTGTGTGGCTCCCTGCCCAGAACTGGCTGCCTTTGGGACCTCCTGCCCACTGCCTGCTGCCACTCAGGGACCTGAAGCATGGCCTTATGGCCCTCTGCCCACTGCCACCACTCAGGGACCTGCAGCATTTCTGTCACTGTGCCCCTCAGGGACAAGGAAGCATTCTTATTTTTACCATTACCCTCAGAACTATGAATTTTGTGATGTACAGTACATTTAGAAGGAAAACTAAAGACTATGTCACATTTCTTTTACATTAGTAATTTCATCATCATTATTATTGATACAGGGTCTATGTAGTTCTGGCAGTCCAGGAACTCACTATGTAGCCCAGGATGACCTCAGACTCAGAGATCTTCATTCCTATGCCTCCTGAGTGCTACAATTAAAGACATGCACCGTGATTGGTATTATTATCAATTTTTGGAGTTTTGAAAAAGGTAAATGTTTTTACAGCTATTCCCAGGGACTAGAGAAATAGTTTGGAGGGTAAGAAGACTGCTTTGTGTCCAGAGCATTGTGTTCAATACACACAATTCCTCACAACTGTCTGAAACTTCAGTTTCAGGGAATCTGATGCCCTCTTCTGGCCTCCATAGGCATCAGATGAACATGTAGTACACAGAAAGTCTTGTAGGCAAAGCAACCACTGACATTAAAAATAATTCATAGCCTTGATGGTAGATGCTGGCAGGATTTGCTGAAGGGTGTGGAGGGAGGAGGATCATGTGTTTGAGGCCAGCTTAGGCTACACATTTTTTTAAATCTGGGTGTTGGTGGCACATGTCTTTAATCCCATTACTTGGGAGGCAGATGCAGAGCCCGGTATACGGAGTGAGTTCCAGGACAGGCCCCAAAGCTACAGAGAAACCCTGTCTCAAAACAACAAATCAAACAAAAACTCAGACAGTTACTATTGCAGAATTTTATTTGTGATATTTTATAAGATTTAAGACTTCATTAAAGGCTTTCACAAATTTCTTGTCTTTGTTTTTATAATGTATATTCTTCAGATTTGTAAGTAAACAATACCATATAAAAGCTATGTCACATGATTTACAACAGTATTTTCCTCTCCAGTATGAATTCTCTGATGTCTTCTAAGATTTGAAAGGTGGGTATAGGTTATGCCACAGTCTTTGCACTTGTGAAGTTTCTCCCCAGTATGAATTTTCTGATGTGCTCTAAGATATGAGCAACCAGTAAAAGATTTGTTACATTCCTTACATCTGTAATGTCTCTCTCCAGTGTGAACTATCTGATGTGTTCTAAGATTAGACATGTAGGTAAAGGTTTTGTCACATTCCAGACATTTGTAAGGTCTCTCTCCAGCATGAAGCTTCTGATGTGTTCTAAGATCTGAAATCTGATTAAAAAATATGTCACATTCTTTGCATTTATAACGTTTCTCTCCAGTATGAATTTTTTGATGTATTTTAAGACTAAAATTTTGGAGAAAGGACATGTCACAGTCTTTGCATTTGTAGATATTCTCTCCGGTATGAATTTTCTGATGTGCTCTAAGATATGAGCACGTGGTAAAAGATTTGTCACATTCCTTACAACTATAAGGTCTCTCTCCAGTATGAACTCTCTGATGTGTTCTAAGCTGTGAGTTATGGGTAAAGAATTTATCACATTCCATACATTTGTAAAGTTTCTCTCCAGTATGAATTTTCTGATGTTCTCTAAGAGTTGACCGTGTAGTTAAATATTTGCCACATTCCTTACATCTGTAAGGTTTCTCTCCAGTATGTACTCTCTGATGTGTTCTAAGATTTGAACGTTGGATAAAGGACATGTCACATTCTCCACATTTGTAAGGTTTTTCTCCAGTATGAATTTTCTGATGTTCTCTAAGATATGTGCATGTAGTAAAAGATTTGTCACATTCTTTACAACTGTAAGGTCGCTCTCCAGTATGAACACTCTGATGTCTTCTAAGATGTGAGTCCCGGGTAAAGGATTTGTCACATTCCATACATTTGTAAGATTTTTCTCCAGTATGAATTTTCTGATGTGTTCTAAGAGTTGAATTCACAGTAAAGGATTTGTCACATACCTCACATTTATAAGGCTTCTCACCAGTATGGATTCTGTAATGTCTGTTAAGATGTGATATTTCAAGAAAGGACTTACCACATTCTTTGCATTTGTAAAATGTCTCTAGAGAATGAGTTTTCTGATGCCATCTAAGTGATGAATAGTGGGGAAAGGATCTGTCACACTCATTGCATTTGTAAGGCTTCTCTCCACTATGGAGTCTGTAATGGCTTTTAAGATGTGATAGCTGATGAAAGACCTTGCCACATTCTTGACAACTGCAATGTTCCTCATCAGTATGGATTTTCTGATGTCTCCTGAAACTGGAACAATGGGCAAAGGATTTGTCACATTCCATACATTTATAAGGCTTCTCTCCTGTATGCGTTTTCTGATGGCTTTTAAGTGCTGAGAACTGAGGAAATGACTTTCCACATTCTTTGCATTTGCAAAGTTTCTCCCCAGTATGAAGTCTTTGATGTGTTTTAAGATTTGCCCACTGGTTATAGGATTTGTCACAATTGTTGCACTTGTAGGGTTTCTTTCCAGTATGTATTCTCTGATGTACAGAGAGGTGTGAGGCGGTTCTGAAGGATTTTCCACATTTCTCACACTGGTATGGTGTCTCTCCAATGTAGATTGGTTGTTGCAAAAGACTGCATGTAGAGCTGAAATAGTCAATGTATTCTCCTTGCTTGTGTTCTTTGCTTGCAGTGTAGAGTCTCTGATCTTGAGTAATGCTGGAACACAAATTTTGAGATTTCTCACAGTCTTTAGATTTGTAAGGTTCTTCTCCAGTGTGGATGCTTTCATGTCTATCTAGGTTTGATGAGTCAATAGAAGAATCCCTGGGGTTATTGCAAGTGCAGTTATTGGAGTTTTCTGTGGTTTCACTTGTTTTATAAAATGCACTTGTGGAGGGGTCATGAAGCACTTTGCCAAGGTCATTACACTCAAAAGACTCCTTTTCAGTCTTCACATGTTGATGGGCAGGATCACATATGTAATAGTTCTCTGAAAATGAGTACAGTTCCGATTATAGGACTTGTTTCAAGATTAAACATTTGATAAATGATTAAGTTCTCTCTTAAGTCAACCAGCAACTCCTTAAATATTTTTCTTTCACTATAATTTTATGTATTGTCACAAAAGCAGTCAGACAGGCTTCAATGGCATATAATTAATAATAGATATCCCATCCTTATAGAAAATGTCTAATGGGACAAGATGGATCAAGAACTTAGAAATCATTGATTAGCTTTGAGATAGAGCTCACTGACTAATTATATTTAGAATATATGACTCTATGTTTAAATGTTTCTTCTTAGAAATGGATGAAGAAGAGTTTAATCCAATCCCAGGTTCAGAGTATTTACATACATTTACTAAGTGACAGACAATAAGGAGTACTGTTCCAAAGATCCAATTCCTTTAAAGAATAAAGTCTTATTTAAAAGCATGACAGGGTTTATTTATATCTTGAGAAAAATAAAAGCATTATTCTTCAAAAGTAATGGATGCAAAAACAGTATTCTGACAGACATAAGAGGCTCAGATTGTTTGAGGCAGTGCTGTCATGGGCAACTATTGCTTATTTCTATCCTCTACTGCCTGAGCCCCACACACTGCTGTGTTTCTTAAATTTCCTCACAGGATTATTCTCAGGTCTACTCTGTACACTAACTCCTGATATTATTTCCTAGAAAGGTGTCTGTGTATTTTCCACTGGCAATAAAATGAAGGATGTAACATGGAGATAAGAATACAAGGATGGCAATTAAAGAATAATCCTACTTAATGGACTCCCATTTGATTAAAAATTTTGTAAAATTATTCCAATCTGATGTCAGCATGGTCAAATAAAATTGCATTTTGTATTAGTATTATCACCAAAATTCAGGTGCAATACCTTTTAACAGTTATTACAACAGATGGGCTGCATCCTGGGACACTATACTAAGTTAAATGACCAGGAATCCTTTTAAAAGGAATTGAACAGTGTAAAAACATTCTTAGCTCTTGCTTTCCCTTTCACTGGAAGTCATCACTGTTGTCCTGCTCATTCACTAGCCCATTCTAATTGTGGCTACTCTCTCCTCTCCACATTCTAGGGCCATTTCATTTGCTCCAGAGGGGTGACTAGATCTTGCATACAATAATCATGTTCTGTGAGTCAGCCTATGACTCATGCTAGAATTTTTAGAAAAACTATAAAAGTCTAACACAATACTGTGCTTAGTACATGAAGAAAACACAAAGTAGAGGAATCCAAGAATGACCTTCAATTGCTGTTTCCTGTCACGATCGTCAGTGTATTTAAGGAGAACATTCAGTTTGCATATCTCACCTTTTTCTCACAAGTAAAACCATGTCAGCTATAACTATGGACATGGAACTTTAAGATATGAGTATAAACTTTATACCACACTAAGTTTCTGAATGCATTGTGGAACCAACTGAGGGGTGGTGCATGACACGGCTAACATGGAAAATGGAAAGAAAAAGTTAAATAGCATGAAAAAGTTCGTTCCTACTACCAAACACTCCCTGGTCTCCTGTTATTTCCACGAGTTTAACAAAGAGTTTATAACCTACAAAGTGGGTACATACAAAGGACGAGTTGTGAATTCTAGAAGCAAAATGTTCTCACCCACAGAGACCAGGTTGCTATAATTCTCTAACATCACATCAATGTACAAAGCCCTCTGAGCAGAGTCCAGGCATTCCCACTCCTCCTGAGGGAAGTCCACAGTCACATCCCTGAAAGTCAACAGACCCTGAAACAAAAAAGAACAGTTTGACCATGTGATCCTGGACAGAGTGCTTTCCTAGACTTAAGGAAACTTGAGGAAATTCGGGATGAAGATGCATGAAGACAATTCCTCAGAAAGATGACTTCTAATAGAGTCACTTTCTATAATGAATGTTCTAATTCTGTGAAAACAGGATGACATAGTAGTCTCACAAGCATATACTTGCAATAAGACACACAAGATCTAGACATGGTTGTCTATCTGTTATGCATCCTGTGTTATATTGCAGAGGATCAAAGTGTACAAATCTCAGAAGGAAAATTTGTAAGGAAGACATATGTTTTAAATGCTGGACCTGTAGACCATGCTAAAAATACTGACATGAATCAATTCTCTCTGTACTTGGGCCTTACATGACTATATTCTAACAGGCTCAGTTGGGATGTTTAAACTCTAGGTCCAGTTTCATCTTATGACAGAGAAAAGGAGTATGTATGGAAGACAGAATTTATGATTGACTTTATAGGTAAAAAAATTTGTTTTTTTTTTCATATTACAGAGTGTAACAACACTGCCCACCGTCAATTTTAATATCAAAATGTTGAGTAGTCTATGGGATTATTTTTATAAGAATATTTGAGCCACTAGCCAGTAGACAGAAAAATCCACATCAGCCACATTTGATATAATCTAAAATTTTCTTAAGAAATTGGCCTGAGGAGCTGGACTGTGGTGGTACACATCTTTAATTCCAGCACTTGGGAGGTGGCAGCAGATGAATCTCTGTGAATTCAAGGCCAGCCTGTCTTCAAAGGAAGTTCCAGGACAGTCTCAAAACATACAGAGAAGCCCTGTCTTGAAAAACACACAGACACACACACAAACACAGACACACACACAAAAGAAAGAAAGAAAGAAAGAAAAAGAAATAGACCTCAGTCAACTTAGACAACTAACAATTTCAGAGGATTTGAAGAGTATTTCACTCTAGAAGTGTTGTAAAAATTGAGGGAAGTCCAAAAACATATCAAATAATATTTAAGTTGCAGCTCAGCATGTACATGTAAGTGTAGTAACTGTGTATGCAATCAGAAGTGACATCAATTTCCTGTAAGTTAATGAAAATATTAAATTCTATGAGAATTATTGTCACCTTTCAGTGTTCTGCAAATGTAATGGCTCACGAGAAAATCTGAGCTGCTGTATCTGAATTTTGTAGTCCTCAATGTGATCTTGTTATTACTTATGCTGTATTGTCTAACAGATTTTAGGTTATTAGTGTTCATGGTTCTTCCTTTATTTCTCTGGAAATGGAAAGTGGTGGTATATTCTGTTTGAGCCACGATTCAGAAATAGAAAAGCAAACCCGAGGGTCATAGCCCATTTCTGAAATCTCCACTTTAAAACATTGCAGCTTCAGGGTGGGGGAACACAGCCATTGCTCTCAGAGAAACCAATTAGGTCAAAGTAATCATGAAGAATCTGGTTCTTTCTGCACCAGATGTGATAGATTATACACATCAGTCAGTCAAAGCCCTAAGACATTATTCCTGATGAATTCCACATAATGCTTCATAATGAGTTCCAGCCAGAAAGGGCTGCACAGTGGGATCTTGTTTGGAGCAAAAAATAAAAATAAAAATAAAAAATCCTGATCTCAAGCTAGGTACATGCCTTTAATCCCAGCACTTGGCAGCAGAGGGAAACCTCTGTGAGTTTGAGGCCAGCCTGGTCTACAGTGCTAGTTCTAGAAACAGCCAGAGCTACACAAAAAAACTGTGTCTCAAAATGACAAAAAAAAAAAAAAAAAACTTCTAGTTTGGGAAGTTACCATTGAGCATCCCAACCAAGTGAGTGATGTGAGCAGCTATTCTCCTGAGATAAGCAGATGGCAATTGCCAACAAACACATGGTGATATTAAACACCAAAGAGAAATGCAAGCAGACTACAATCTTAATCTACACCCAAGAACGTCATTTTTATGGTACAACCAAGTCACACGTGTAAGTCATGTTTTTGTACTTTCTAGTGCACTTAATTTTTAGTATTAGAATCCAAGTATATTTAGCATTAAAAACCAAGCTTTATCTCTTGATTGCACATATTGCTAAGCTGTTGCACATGACAGTTGCACATGACAACTATCCCATGTGTTTCAGTATGTTCCCTTTATACCCAATGTTCAAGGAAGTGAGACAGTTCCCACAAATAGAGCCTACATGTCACAGGAGTCCTCACTAACTAATAAAGATATAGTTAACCTTCTACAGCAATCAGGCATCAACATATGTTTTGTTCATGTGTTAAAGTGGCAATATTTTCAAAATTACAGGTTCCAAGTTTATGTGAGATATTTGCCCTTGGGAAAAAGTAAGTTATATGGGAAGGATAGAATGGAGAAAAGTACTATAGGTGTAGATTTATGGAATTATATTGTATAGCTGTAGTCATAGAGACAGTCAGGTTTAGTTATACAAATAGATTGGAGAATAACATAATATAATAGAGATCCCAGAAAGAATACCATAAAGCTATGCAAAAAGTTTTGACAATGGAGGCAAAATGATACATTACAAAAATATGGCCTTTTCCATGTCTGGGTCCATGGTCCTGCTGTAGTTGAGGTCTGTGTAGATGTCCATGACATATGTTACTACAGGGGCCCATGCAAACCGTGCCTGTTGAAGTTCAAGGGCTGTGCTAAGCCAGCAATGCCCCTCACTGGCCCTGTTCTTCACAGGCCCTGGAATAGAGTCCTAAGGAACATGGCTCCACCACTCATAGTGGAGACCCCCCAAACAATTGGGGAAGCTGGCCCCACCCATTACCTGAGAGGGATGGTACCAGAAGTCTGGAGTGAGAACAGAGCTACCTCCCAGGCACACATCTAGTGCTTTGAGTTGGCACACCCAACATCTACCCTCTATGCTTTGCTGGAATGAGTGAAGGGGTGGTCCTGACAAACCATAAACTCAGGATCACCATGACGTCGGACAGTGTTTTGGTGAAGGTCCAGTACCGATGGTGTACCAGAATAAATATGACCAACAATCCAATACAGAATGAACAACTGTAAGTAAAGCTGTTTGGACAAAAGGGTCTACTAAGTGCCACAGCACAGCTCCCAATGCCACAAGACAAATAAAGAGATGATGGAGAGGTGGGAAAGATGGAAAACCAAAGTGTTCTTTTCTGTTTGTTTGTTTTTGTGCTATTATTATCATTACTATTGCTTTTTGTTTTGTTTTTCGAGACAGGGTTTCTCCGTAGCTTTGGCGTCAGTTCTGGAACTTGCTCTGTTGACCAGGAGAGACTTGAAATCACAGAGAGTAATCTATCTCTGCCTCCTGAGTGTGCCACCACTGCCTGGCTGTTATTATTGCTTTTTTTAAAAATTTTTTTACTTTTTGTATTTTTTATTTCTTTCTAAATTTTCCTTTGTGGGTGATGTTACAAGGGTGAAAGGTGGATACAGAGGGATTGGGTTGCATGGTGTGAAATTCACAATGAATCAATAAAAAATTATTTTCTCTCTCTCTCTCTCTCTCTCTCTCTCTTTTAAGACAGGGTTTCTCTGTAGCTTTGAAGCCTATCCTGGAAGTAGCTCTTGTAGACCAGGTTGACCTCGAACTCACAGAGATCCATCTGCCTCTGTCACCCAAATGCTGGGATTAAAAGTGTGCGTCACCACCGCCCGGCTAAAAACTTATTTTCAAGAAAAAATATTGCCCTTTCAACATCTGGTACTAGCAAAACTGAATTGAGAAGGAGAATAAAATTAGATTCTGATCTCTCTTTTATATAAAAATCCATTCAAAATGTATCAAAACCCTTATTTAAAACCAGAAACACACAGAAACCTAGAAAACATAAGGAATACCCATGAGAAAAATGGGATGGGCAAGGACTTATTGATTACAATGAACACCAACAGCACAGGAACTGATCCAAGTGTCAATAGATGGGACAACATGAAAAGCAAGAGTTTCTGTACATCAAAAGGAACAATCAGCAGAGCATACAGACACCCACAGAGCAGGTAAGAATATCTGTGACACTTTGGATAGGTGCTCATATAAATAATTTAGAAACAATAACAGAAATTAAATATCAAGGAAATGTAAGTGTCAATAAACAATTGGGCAAATGAACTGAAAGACAAATTTCAAAGGCCAATAAATACTGCAAAGTGTTCAGGATCCCTAAAATGCCATCATGGAAATACAAACTAAAAGTACATTGAAACACGGCATCACTCCAGGCAGAGAATGGCTGTCATGAACCACTCTGACAAATGTTAGCAAGGATGAGGAGAGAAAGGAAGCCTCATAAACTGTTGGTGTATGTGGGGGAATGTAAATTAATACAGTCATTATGGAAATCAGTTTGTACATTATTGAAAACCTTGAAGAGAGAACTAATATATGACCCAGCAACATCACTCCTGGGAACATAACTGGGGAACTCTACACCCCAATATAGAGATATTTACACCCATGTTCACTGCTTCTGCATTCACCACAGCAAAGTATTAGAAGCTACCTAATTATCAACAGATAAATGGATAATGAAAATTGTATTCATATAAAATGGAATATTATCTAGCTAAAGAGAAACATGTAATAAAAATTTGCAGGAAAATGGATGAACTTCGAATGTGTAATATTAAATGAGGCCATACAGCGTCAGATAGAAGAAACCACATTTTTTCTCATATGAAGAATCTAGCCAATATTATGTGGAGGTAGGACTGAGTGCAGGTAATGATCACATGTTATGAAAAAAGGATATAAAGCTAATTGCCTTTCTAGCTCTAATTCTGCCACAGATTTTTTTTCACGGTAGATAAATTCATAAAAATATATTCAATAACAAAAATATAAAATCCCACGTTAGGCTGCAGAGCTTCAGTTCCCAATGACTACTCTAACTATATAAAAGTACATCGAGTTGCCTATTCTTTAGGTCTGGCTAATTGCAGTGTGTGATTTTGTTGTTGTTTCTTTCAATATTTTTCATAATAAAATTTAAAAATTATCAGGAGCAAAAAATTAAAAAGTTGGAATATCTGAATATATAACATTTCTATTAAAAAAGTGGATAGGATCACTGACCTGGGACATGCATACTGGAGAATCAGCCATTTCTTTCTGTTGAGTTTTTCTTTCAGGAACAAGGAATAGACGGCTTGCTGCCCTTTTATATAAGGGATCAAAAAGAAAGTGCAAAAATTAATACTGAAAATTGTTACAGAAGAGTGACAAACTACTTGAAAAGACCCAAGCAACAGAATACGACCAAGTGTTCAGACAATGATTCCAAACCCACAAGAGCATGCAACGACACTTGAAGCTTGAAGAGAAAACCACCACAAACAATATTGTTGCATCCAGGAAGTTATCTTATAATTGATGGAGACATTAACTGCATTTCAAGTTATTTTCAAGTTAACATGTTTGATTTCACTAAGCTTTGCAGACAATAAATAGAGGCAAAATGTATACAGGAGAATCAGTGGACTTATCCATGAGACTATGGGAAATAAGAAATTTCATGTGAAGAATAGATAAATACAGGAGACCTAGGAAGTAATCATTCATGGGCAAAATAACAAATCACTAATTCTCACAAACCAGAGAAATAATACTATTAAACCAACCAACAACAATACCAAAAATAAAAACATAAAGAATAAAAACCACATTCCCAACAAATGAACTATGGGTATTTTCCTTTGTTTAAAAAAAAAAAAAGAGGGAAATGATGCAGGAGAATTGTCTGTATTCTGTCAATCATATTTTAATAAAACGCTGATTGGCCAGGCAAACAGTATAGGCGGGAAAACCAGACAGGAAGTAGAGGTGATGCAATGAGAACAGGAGAATTCTGGGAAGCAGGGAGGTTCCTCTGCCACTCCTGCGCAGACCACCGAAGAGGCAGCATGTAACATGCCCAGCTGAGAAAGGTATGGAGCCATTATGGTTAACATAGATGAGAATAATGGGTTAATATAAGTTATAAGAGTTAACAAGAAGCCTGACCTAATGGGCCGATCAGCTTTATAACTTATAGAGATCTCTGTATGGTTGATTTTCTTTGGGAGTTGCCAGCTGTGGGATACTGGGTGGGACAGAAACCCCAACAAGCCGGCCCCTCATGTTACACTAGCAATAAAATATCTAGCCACCCTGGAAATCATCATGGAGAATCTATAATTAAATAATATTTCCTCAAGTTAAGCAAGTCAAACACATGACCCAGCTGTTTCTACTCCTTGGCATATGCTCTAAGGACTCAACATCCTACTCCACAGATACGTGTTCAGTCACGTTCATTGCTGTTCTACTCACAATAGCTACAAAATGGAAGAAGCTAAATGTCTTTCATCTGACAAATGGATAGTGAAAATGTGGTACATATACACTATGGAATACTATTCAGCTGTTCAGAAAATTGAAATCATGAGCTTTGCAGGGAAATAGATGGACTTCTTAAAGATCATATTGAGTGAGGTAACCTGGACCCAGAAAGACAGACATTGCATGTTCTCTTTCATAGGAAGTTCCTAGCTCCAAATCTTCAGATGTCAGTATACAACCTGGAATGACTGTAGTAACAAGAAAAGTAAAAGGAGGTCAGGAGTGGTGGCTCATGCCTTTAATCCCAGCACTTGGGAGGCATAGGCAGGCAGATCTCTGTGAGTTGGAGGCCAGCCTCATTTACAAACTGAGTTCCAACACAGCCAAAGATATATGGAGAAGCCCTGTCTTGAAAAAAAAAACCCTCAAAACAAACAAGCAAACAATGTAGAAAGAAGAGTGCTGTGGTATGTGGGTGAGTAATAGAGAGGGGAATAACAGGGAACAAGTGATGTAAAAAAGCAATGGAAAAACAGGGAGGGATTTAATTATGGAGATGGGAAAGATATAAACAGAGAAGTAGGGTAAAATAACAGTAAGGATGTTTAAAAAGTCATGAAAAATCATATTATTATTTATTATTCATCCACCAAATATGACTACATGTAAATCTGTGTAAGCATATACATTTAGAATGTAAAGGAAAATTTCCCATCTGAGCTAATAATGTTCTCATAAGTATAGATTTTCTAACAAACCACCAACATCAGTCATGAGAAGTCTATTTTGAAATTGTTGGTCAGATCTGTCCAAGAGACTCCCAAAACATTATAGGTTACTGCACTTGTTTATGGTTGCTTCCCAGAAGTAGAAGGTGAGTGAAAGAAGCCATGCACTTCAGTCTCAGAACCCAGAGGACTCAAGATGGATCAGAATTTGTGGCTTCCTGCCTGAGGACTATCTTTCATGGTATCGGAAGTCAACATGCACACTTTCAAAGGAGGGAGTCAACTGACAGTCCTATCCAGCTACAATACTTAGGAACCACAACAAAGATCTGCACTGCACAATAGACCTAAGGATGCAAGAGTGGTACACATATCTAGGTAGTAAGCAACAGCTTACTAGTTGAACTTAAGACACTTCCAAGAAGAGGGAAATGATGCCTAGCCAGTCTTAGCAGGGTTAGTGGAGTAATAGATCTTAGAGAAGAACCTATAACCACTCACAGGCAGAGTCAATTCCTCTGAAGAAAGTATTCTCATGCCCATATTGGGCACCATTTTGTAGGCTGAAGATGGATGCTGCAACATACAGAAGAACTTTGGGTAACTGTCCAGGCAGTTAATTCTCTGTCAATTCTAGTGTTTTGGAAGTTGCTTACAATGCACTTCCTATTTACTTAGGTAATATTAAATTCTTCTGGAGTCTTTGACGAAGTTTAGGAAAGATAGTTATAATTATAAAAGATAGATTAGATATAAAACTTTAGACTCAGAAAGATAGGATAGAAAATAGAGTATTTTCCTTAATTTGACAAATATAAATGGACTAAATATTATAACTATAATTCTTGCTGATAACTATTTTGTTATATGTAATTTTACTATGTTAAAGTTAAAACCTTCCTTTTTATTTAGAGAAAAGGGGAGGTGATGTGGGATTTCCCTCTGTATGATGTGAATGTGTTTTGTTACCACTGATTAATAAAGAAGCTCCTTTGACCTATGGCACGGCAGAATAGAGCAAGGCAGGAATTTCAAGCAGACATAGAGGAGAAAAGAAGGAGTCAGAGAGATGCCATTTAGCTGCCAAAGGAGACAGATGCTAGAGACCCTCATGGAGATACATAGATTAATAGAAATGGGTTAATATTAATATAAGATGTTAAGAGTTAGCTAGAAATATGCACGAGCTAATTGGCCAAGCAGTGTTGTAATTAATATAGTTTCTGTGTGATTATATTTGGGTCTGGGCACCTGAGAAACTAATGAGCAGTCTCTGCCTACACAGTAGGGCAATTCTGAGATCTTTCTCAGTCTCTGGAATTTTTTCTAGTGAAACAGAATGAGGCAAACTGATTGTATGTCCCACTTACACATTATCTTGAGCCCCTTTCCATCCCTTCATCAATCTCTGCACCATACCTGGATCCTTAGCTACTCTCTCCTTCTTCTTCACCTTTCAGGCCTCTTTGTTCTGCTCCACAGGTGAGCAGGTCTGAGTGATCAATGAGTCCTGCACATGAGAAAGATTCTTCAGAAAGCACAAAGATTTCTCATGCAGAACTGCTCTGTGGTTAAAGAGAAAACTAAATAAAGGATTCTATAAATGATTCCCCAGTTGTCCTGCAGGGTCAGAACACTCAAAATATTTAGAAAGCATTTTCAGTTAATGTCACTTGAATGCCACTTCTAGTCATGGATCAGTCAAATCTCAGGGACAGAAATGGAACTGAATGACTGGTATGAGATTTTTATAAACTAGTGATGTTCTCAATTTATCATGGACCCAATAAGATGGAAGCCTCACACCTCTCAAAGGGACACACACTTGCTGAGTAGTTTGTCAAGGAGGAATAAGAGAGATTACAAGCAAACTATTCTCACCCACAAAAATCAGATTGCTGTAACTCTGCAACATCCAGTCTCTGTACAAAGACCTTGAGCAGGGTCCAGGTATTACCCTCCTCCTGGGAGAAGTCCAGTCACACCACTGGTGTCAGCAGACCACAAAATAAAATACAACAGTTAGAAAGGTTGTGTTGGTGCACACCTTTAATGCCAGTCATGAGGAGCCAAAGGTGGGTAGAACTATGACCTCCAGTCTAACCTGGTCTTCACTGTCAGTTTTGAGCCAGACAATGAATTCAGACTTCAAATATAAGAATCAGAAAAAAGAAAAGAAGAAGAAGAAGAAGAAAGAACAGAAGAACAGTAGTTTGGTCATCTGTCTAGGGACAGAGTGCTTTTCTTTGAATAAGGAGAGGAGAGAAAAGACTATTGTAGACATTTTTTTCTGATATAGATGAGTGATTATAATTATTTAGGAGATGCATTTAGTACTATCCTAAACAATAATATCTTTTCATTTTTTTTTTTCTCAGATGCATCCAACATAGGGTTCCTCTGTGCAGCCCCAGCTATCCTTAACCTTGCTCTGTAGACCAGGCTGGCAAGAAACACCAAGATCCACCTGTCTCTGTTTCCCAGATGCTGGAATTAAAGGCATTGCCACCACCACCATGTGGCTTTTAATGCCTTTTCTAACTGTTAAAATATGGTGACTTAATACCATAAATCACGTTCTAAGTTGCACATTATCTTTTTTTTTCTTTCTTTCTTTTTTTGGACATAGGGTCTCACTATGAAGCTCTGACTGTCCTGGAACTCAATATGGAAACCATGCTGGCCTCCAACTAACTGTGGTCTCTGGCTGTCTTTGCCTGTCTCTGCCTCCCCGGTGGTGGGACTAAAGGTGTGTGCCTCCAAGCATGTCAAAAACATTTTTCAGAAAGCTGTATTTACATTAGAGTCCTTACATCTCAGATGAAAAAATAATGGTGGATAAAAAGTTTTCTGTTATATGTTTACAGTCATAACTATGGAAATTGCAAAAAACTATACTTTCCGATTCAATTACATTCGCAGGCGTTCTTTCCTTGACGAATATATAAAAGCGCTCCAGGAATCAAAGTCCCTAATTCTATGCCATTCTGTTGAATAGGGAAGTGGTTTAACATGGAAGTTAGCCGGGATAAATACAAATTTTAAAAGCCTGGCCTTTTCCACCTTAGCAAAGAGAACCGTGTTTGCAAATATCAACACTCTACTACATTACTTTTAAAGTAATATTTTGGGAATAAAGATCAATAAAAAAGAATCAGGACCGGCCCAGTCTTATTATGTAAAATTTATCGACAAGGGAAGACATCCACAGCAGAATTTCAGAGCCGGCTTCCTTATGAACAGCAGAGAAACAGCTCGCACCCCTGATCCCTTCCCTCCTGGGTCCCAGTCCCGCAGTTCCTCTGACCTGGGAGGTTCCAGGGCCGCTGGGCTTCGGTTCCCCCACTGCGCTGCTGACTTTCCCAGGCCGCCCCGCGGCGACTGCGGCTCCGGGGAGTTTTCGCGTCTCTGTGACACCCGCTGCGTCCTCCGCATTCAGGTATGCACCACGCGGTTCCACAAAGTGCAGGCCCCCTGGTAACGACACTGAAAGGACACTCGACACTTCCGACTTTGACGCCTCGGTCCACTTCCGGGTCCTCTTAGACTGTTTCCCAGCTTCCGTTTACGTCACTACTCTAATTCCTCCCACTTCTCCATCTCCATTGTTCTCCAACACTCAAGTCCAACACACCCTCCCAAATGCTTTTCCAGTAAGTAGAGAGTCTGGGTCCCACTGAGACCCGCCCCTCTCACTCCGCCTCAGGTCGCCTTCCACACAACTCCAGCTGTCAGGCTGCCCTGGACCTCCTCTGCACAGCCTCCCCACATGCTTGCTGCCAGCCTAGACCAGAAGTGATCTAGGAGACGCTGCATCCCGGTGTCTGACCCCACAGTGAGTTCTGAACCCTACAAATAAAAGACAGGCCGCCTAACCTCGGACTACCAGACTCCCGGGTTACATACTTAACCAAACGATAACACGCTAAATTAAGATGCCAGCTTCCCATCGCCAACACAAACATAACAAACCCAGACCAAATTCTGACATTTTGATTTTGGGAGACTCATTTCAGGAACTTGGATTTCGAAAAGAGATAGGTGTCTTATGTTCGTGGTGAGCCTATTCCTAAGAGCCCACCGGTGAGTTCCTCCCGCGCTGTACTCACCACTAGATGGTGGTCTTGTCATTTTACTTACTCAAACAAGTTTGTCTTCTGTGATGCATGTTAAGGATGCTTTGAGATAAAAGATTTTTTTTTAAGGCGGTGGTGAATGCAGAAATTCCTGCTGTGCCAGATGCAGAAAATAATTAAGGTTTGTGGTTCCTGGCCTAAAAACATCAGTCACACCCTCCCATGTATGGCTCTGGGAACACTGAGAAAAATGAGGAGGACAGGGAATGAGAAGGGAAAGAGGAGGAAGAGCTAAGACACAACATTCTCTAGACTCCATACAGTTGTTGTAATCAGAAACCTACAGCAACTGTACTTACCTGCGTTGACCTCACACTAGACCACAATCAGTCTAGGAAAGGGAAAGGCTCACAGGGCCCCACCATCTACCACTCAAATGTTGTCCCTGAATGGATTGTGGAAGAAGCATTGCCTTTAGCTGTAGCCCTCTGCTGGGCTCAGTATGCTCCGACACATAGCTCCAAATCCACAGTATCACAGATGGGCCTGCTTAATTTCAGGGGATCCCAAGCAAAATCAATAGAGATGAACACAACAGAGACATTTGTTGGAATTGTAGACTAAGATGTGTAGGAAGTGAAAGTAAATAGTATTTGAGGCATATGCAAACACACACACACACATACTTAGGTGCATATGCAAACATATATATGTATGTGAATGAGAAATAGTTAATAATAGAGAAAAATTACTTTTGTTTTTCCAGTTGAGTTTTCTCTTTGTAACTCTTGCTTTCCTTGAACTCCCTTTGTAGATCAGGCTGGCTTCAGAATCTCAGAAATTTTCCTGCCTCTGCCTCGGGTATGCTAGGATTAAGTTGCGACCCATCTTGCCCTGTTCAGAATTTTTTTAAAATGACCATATCAGTTAGTAAATTTTTTTTGCTTGTATCAATATTTGTTGGGGTTAATTTTTTATTTTTTCAGGACTAGGTGTCTCTGTGTAACAGCACTGACTCTCCCAGAAGTCCCTTTATACACAATGATGGCCTCAAATTTACTGAGATCCACCTATATCTGCCTCCATTATGCTGGAATTAATGGAGAATGCCACAGAGGTCTGCTTATAATTTGGTTAATATTAAGTAATACTAAGAGTCAGGGGAAATCTTTTTTTGTGTGTCAAGATTCTTTTTAATCTATTTTATTTGTGACAACATTTCACTGACTGTCCTGGAACTGCAAATACCAGGCTGGCTTTGAACTCTCAAGTACTGAGATTAAAGGTATATGCCACCACCAACTGAATGTCAAGAAGTATTTTTAGTAACTTTGATGTTAATTTTTCTCTGAAATTCTGTTATAATCCTGTCAATCTGGTTATGGAGTTGTATTAAGGGTGGCGTTTCATATCTGCTTCAGTCACATTGCTACTGATGTTCTGTCTACATTTTTATTTCATGTTGTTGAAATTTAGTGTGTTATATTCACCTGGAAATTCATCTATTTCATTTAAAATTTCAATGTAGTATAATAGAAATTTTTAAACAAGAGATTCAGTGGATCTCTCATTTCTATCATGTAGGCTGTTCAGTTACCTTGGGTAACTGTCAAGACATGATAACGTGCAAAGTGGTAGAGACACACACCTTTAATCCCAGCACCCACGAGGCATAACTACGTAGATCTCCGTGAGTCTCAGGACAGACTGCTCTACAGAGTGAGTTCCAGGTCATTAAAGGGTGCACAGAAAACCCTATCTCAACAAAACAAAACAAAAGGCATAACAACACAAAGTTATGTATAGTTGACAAGATCAGGCAAACCTTTTAACCCAGCACTCAGGAGACATTGCTAAGGGAAACTCTGAATTCAATGTCAGCAAACTCTACATAGTGAGTCTCAGACAGCTGGAATATTGGAGACCTTGTCTCAAAATAAAGTAAATTGCTCCCCGAGGAGTAGTGTTCATGGTTCCAGAAGTACCTTGCAAGATTCCAAAGGAGGAAGCCAACCAACAGCCCTAGCCAACTATGATGCTTATGAACCATATCAACTGTCATTCTGGCACAATAGACATAAGGATGTAATAGTGGCACGCATATATTGGTGGTAACCAACAACTCTTTCATTGGACTTAATACTGTCTTGACAAAAGAGAAATCATGACTGGTACTGGAAATCTAGCTTCTGACTAGTGCTGGTAAAGACATGAATCTTGGAGGACAACAAACAACCACCAGTTTACTAATCCACTATAATCACTAACAAGTCACTAAACATTTTTCTTTGAATCCACAGGTAAGCTTATTCTTCACTCCTCATCAAGGAAACATCTCTTTTCAACAGAAACCACTAAAAACAATTCACAACTAATCAAAATGCAGAGATGTGCAGCCCAGTCCCACTGAGTACATCTCAAAAACACTCCTGTATCATTTTTGAAGAGCGGCTATAAAGATGAAAAAAGGCAGAGGACCAGGAAGTTTGGTGTGAGACTGTGTCCCTAGTATACTAGTCAGTGTTCCTTAGAGCAACAGACCTTATAGAATGAACACACACACACACACACACACACTCACACACACATCTATGAATGACTTACAGGCTGCTGTGCAGATGATCCAACAATGGCTGGCTGTAACAGAAAGTCCAAAAATCCAGTTAGTTGCTTAGTTTACAAGGCTGGATATCTTGGCTGGTCTTCTATATATGCAGGAATCCCAAAGGAGTAGGGTCCAATGCCAGTGAAGAAATGAATGTGCTACTAAGAAAATGAGCCAACAAACAGGTAATGAGCAAAATGATTCCTTTTTCCATGTCCTTATATAGGCTTCCAGAAGAAGGTGTGGCCTAGGTTAAAGATGTATCATGGAGCCTCTATATTCTGACCAAAGGTGTGTGTCCTTCAGTTTCAAGATGTGGGTTAATGGCATTTATCTTCATATCTCAATGTTCCAAACTAGAAGTGGATTCAGTTAATTCAAAAGAAACAAAAATATCCTCACAAGTGTGCCCTCCATTTCTGAATTGTAGTTCATTTAAGATGTAGTCAAGTTGACAACCCAGAATAACCATCACACCTAGCAATGCTAGAACCTTTGTCGATAAAATCTTATCAACACAACTTTCCAAATGTAAGCTGAACAAAGACAAGAACAATGAACCTTCAAAAGTGGATGGGGAGGATTCCACAATGCCTCAACCCTACCCAGAGAATTATAGCAACTGGGGGATGCTTGGAGAAGGAGAAATAATATCCCCCAGGAAAGAGCACACTAATTGGTTATTCAATACAAAATGGTCAGCACTGAAAACACAAATCCTATTGACGTTATATGGACTGAGCATTTTATTTACAATTATGAATGTATACACATAGACATATATGTATACAGTAAACATTAATGAAAAAGATACCATGAATTTGAATGCAAGCATAGATGGTATAGGAAAATTTTGTAGAAAGAACAGTAGGAAGAGAAATGTCCTAATTATATAATAAGTTCAAAATTATAAATCTAAAAAAGTGAAACTAAAACAAAACAAATGAACAAACAATTACAAACCCAAACTAAAACCAAATAAACAAACAAATATATACCTATCAGGTAAATGCAGACTAGGACTCCTTTAAGTTTCCTTGCTGCCCTAGCTACAGTGACAATAATCAAGAACAGAAATGATAAACTACTGTTGGTATAAATGTTGGGAAAGGATATCAAACACTGAGAATTAGAACAATTAGAGAATGAACTTATGAAGTCAGTCTGGTGTTCTCAAAATAATGACTAAATGAAAGAAGGAAACTCGTTTGCTCTCTGATTGCTGCATTGATGTGTGACAAACAGTGGCAAACATCTACTAAAAGAGATAGGGAAACATTGAAATCCAAAGTTTGGAACCAATAATGTCTGTCGTGGTGAACCAGTGAGATTCTGTTTGTTTTCTCTATTAGGGGTGTTTTGTCTGCATGTATATCTGTGCACCACGTGTGCCCCTAGTGCTAGCAGACCCAGAAGAGGGCATTGCATACCCTAGAGATAAGAATGAAGATTGAGTGCCCATGTGAGGGTACTGGGAATTCAAAGTGAGTTTTCTGAAAGAGCAGACAGTGCTCTTATAACCACTGAGCCACTTCTAAAGTCAAATGAACCAATGAATTTTATTGGGGTGACTTTATTGGGTGTGGATGAGGGTTTACTTACAGAAGCAGAAAGGACTCAATGTCAGCTGTGTCATCCTGTGAGGGTGATGGCTAATGAAGCTGGAAACCTGGGGATCACAGCATGGCTTGTAGGCAGCTCAAGGGAGGTTGGAAGTGTCTTTCAAGCCACTCATTACC